ACCAATCCTATAAATGGGCCTTGCAAAAGTTGTTTAACATTATTGCAGACCGAATGTGCTACTGCTTTATCGAGATCATCATGACTGTATATAAAATCAAAATATAATTCAAGTTATGTTATTAACCCCATTTATAAAAACGAATTCGTAATAACGAGTAGATACTGAAGTAGTTTCATTGAAATTATTTTTATTTTTATTACTATTTTATTTTAAAACTAACCGCAATATATGTCGAGGTATACGGACAATATTTTTTATGACAAAGATAAGTATACCTAAGACTTGAATAGAGTAATTAGTAAATTATGTAGCAATTCTGTTGCACAAACTAGACTTCAATATTACTATAGATTTAATTGAATTTCATTTATAGATATTCAGTTACCAAATGATAGGTAAAGAATAGAAGTTTTCTCCTTCACGACTATTTTTTATTAATTTTCAAGTAGATTTTATTTGATTACGCTGTGTTCGAAACTGTATTTGTGAAGTAATGCTATACCGATATTCTAATAACATACTAAGGTAACTCTTGTCATTTTTAATGTTTACAGAATAGGGACGGAGTGGGTGAAAAAAATAATATAAAAATATTAGATGTCTCTTTTTTCTTGTTGACATTGAAATTTAATGATTACGCAAAAAAATAAAAATACGTATTTGTTTTTTGTTTGATAATCACCCGGCACCAACAGACAGAAAAACAAAATTAGTCATCATACATAGTTCATCATAATCATTCAACATGTGTCGTGCTTAACTTGATTCATTTTTTTTTGTTTCAATCATAGAGATATAACTTAGTTGCCGGTATCTATATTGTCAAGAGACTCGTCATGGACGTCGCCTAACATTTATGTAAAAAAAAACCGTCTTTAGTACTATTTTCTTAAGAAACTAATAAACTAAAAATACATCTTTGAGTATGTTAGTTAATTGCCTGTTTAACTAAATAAACTTCTGCACTCACAGACACTTAACTGCCGCACTCATAGACATTTTAATTATATTTCCGACCACAATGTCACTGGTTAAGTGACCGTGGCTTATAATCATAAGTTGCTGCTGCATTCATATTGTAAGGAATAGATTACATAATTAGTTACTTTAATTACTGTGAGTAAATTAAGTATTTACGGCGTTATTACGGCTCTGTGACAAGAAACTGACAGTATAGTTTACCGCGTGATTTATTGAACTATATACAATTATCCAATTTTTATTTAATGTTCTTAATTATTTTCTTCTTAGGCTTTTATACCGAAAATCCCTAAAACACAATTACTTTGGTATAAAAAAGATACATTTTTAATACGTATTAAAGGTAAAATGATATGTATGTGAGTCGCTTTGTAGTCAAAACTTTTACGGAGAACTTTTACAGCAATCCTATTAGATTGCTAGTAATCTAAAAATAGAATAAAACAAAGTTTCACCCCGCTGTCTGTACATTGAGATCTTTAAACTAGACAACGGATTTTAATAATCAATTAATTAATTAAAAGTGATTCAAGAGGAACGTTTATAAAAACCGGATCTAGCAGGCGAAGCTGCTGGCAGAAAGCTAGTTATTTATAAATCGTTATTCGGGAGCCAATTGATATTGTCTTTTTTGCCTGGAAGATACCACTTCTACGTCTACGTCTTCTAGTTTTATCATATATCTATATTTTTTGTTTTGTGTGTACAATCAATAATATTGTATTTATCTATCCAGCTGTGTGTTGGACTTACTATATAAGATTGTGTGGGACCAACGGCTATACCGCGTAACTGAAGTCTATGCTTTCTAGATTAAGATCGGTCTGTAATAAAGTTTTCTTAAATAACGTCAAATGCAAGAATTTTAAATATAGTACTAATGTAACAAACCAAGCTGTCTTTGGTTTTGACAAGTCTTTTAATATTTGTACGTTTGGATATTGTTTAATTTTGTATGGTATATGGTTCAAATGACCACCGTGATAGATATCACGGTAATAATAATAATATTGAGGTCAAGGTAATAATAAACAAAGTTATGTCATTTTTTTCGATGATGTCATTTTTTTCTATAATCTATACATAGTATAGAATAAAATCGCTTCCCGCTTCTTCTTTTTAACCAAACAACAGACTTTTAATGAGGTTTTTATCAATATACAGGGTGATTAAACAGAAAGGTTTATATGTATAATAAAGGACCACGCAGGCGAAGCCGCGGGCGGAAAGCTATTGTCCTCTTAAACTAAAAGCATACGTACGAAGTAAAACTTCGAAGGGCACATGTTAGCTTCAAATTATCATCACTCCTGCTGTGAAGATAAACAAGGTCTAAAATTCTACAACCTTCAATAACAGCATACCATAAAGTCTATGTCAAGCAGGGTCTTGTATAATATATAATTTATTTATAATTATCATGTTGTTGTATAAGAAACGAAAAGAATTTATTATTTTATAGTTGTAAAAATAGTTCAAATGTTTATTTATAATTAAATAAGTTGCGCGCCTGGACATATTAAAAAACAAAAAAACAAATAGAATTTCTCATCAAGTCATTATTCTTCTTGTGAAGTTATTAATAAAATATGCATAGCTTGACCTTATTACTTTAAGAACTGAACACCTGGCATAATAATCAATTATTCTTAATCATCTTAAAAGCATTAGATCGAACATCGAACAATGTTCTGGGGGACTATTCTCTATATCAGTAAACAAAGTCTAGACTTTATTAACAAAATATTAGGCAAAATATATCTGTTTCCCCCCTTTATCTTTGAATGTTGAAAAAACAAAATGTATATTGCTATTGTATTATCGCTTTGAAAAATAATTCAATACTAGTATAATCATTGCAGTATAGCAGTATGGATTTCAATAATAGTATAGCAGTAAGAATTTTCATTAGAGATTTTCTGCTTAGCTTCAACTTCTGCTCCATTAAAAAACATAAAATTTGCGACAGAGTAAAAGCAATCTTCTTCACATGGTCACCTTTGAAATAGAAGGTAAGTAGAACCTATATCTAATGTTTTGTGCAAAAATATACTATTTCGCCGTCTCGACTATATAAAATATTGTATCATCGATATAATCGTGTATACAAAGTATACCCTCGCATTACACATTATTAGTGATGTTCACCTTCAAGACTGATAACAGAATTTAGTATCTTATCTATGACGGAAAGCTAATTTTGCCATCTGTCAAAAAATCATGTTTTCCGAATTTAGCCGAGAGATTGCGAAAATTGACGAACGAAAACAGCGTCATGACTAATGTGACCAGACGTCCCGTTTTAAACGGGACTGTTCGATTTTTGTTGCTGTCAATCCCTGTATCCCCAATGATAGGTATGTCCGAGGCACAAAAATGACCCGTTTTTGAAATGATGCGAAAGATTTCGCTTGCAAAGTGCATTAGACTGCATTATCTGACCACGCGAAATTCATTTGTTTTTCAATTACCTTGTTTGGAGTTATTTGAAATCTTATATAGGTACCGAAACGTAAGTGCTCGTATAATGATAGGTAAATTATATATCACAATTAATATACCCAGCAAATATGTATTATTTTCCTTACAGAGTTAACCGACCGTGGTTTTAAAAAATGTCCCGTTACATCCCAAGGAAAAAGTGGTCATATTAGTCATGACATACCTTGATCATAATAAAAGAATACACATACTGACAATAATAGTTGGAAAGATTGTTTGAGTATATAAAAAATAAACGATGAATCTAAAAAAAAATTGTCAAGAACTCTACATTTAAACATCAATATTTTTCTTACCTAGTATATTTAGCATTAAAGCTATATTTTATGTATAATTCATGTTTTTGTTCATACAGTAGCACAGATTGCTGCAATTGATTTCGTGCTCTACCATTAATGCGTCAGTTTAAAAATTAAGAGAATAAGTTTTTTTTTAATCGTTTATCCTGACTTATTTAATTGCATACGAATTACTAAAATTTAGTCTACGTAATTTTAATAATTCAAATAATACTGTTTGCTAGTGTATTTAAGAAATTGATCGTATTTAAGTGAAAGAATTTTTTTCCGTACTTAAATGGACACTAAGATGTATTTTAGTTTATTTTAATTACTTAATTTAGTTAGGAGTTGGTTTACTCAGATGCGAAAGCATACTTTACATTATCAAACTCTTTTCTATTTGTTTTTGTAAATTGTCTACCTAATTAGGTAAAACTATGCAATGTTTTTGTGAACTTAATTTTGCTGTACGTAAAATTGAAAATGAAATATGTGTTTTCATGATTCAAATTTTCTTTTAAATTTTAAAATAATCCAGGTTGATTTTCCATTCGCAAAAAAAAAACAGAAAAATCTAAAACCAAAACAATATAGGGAAGAGTTAAACAAATTGATACAGTAACAAAAATAAAAAAAAAAACAAAACGATACACGTTGTATTTTTATTTGACGCTTTATTACAAAACAAAAAATATAACGATATAATAGATTTTGTACATTTAAATAAAGAGTAACTCGTGTAAAAGCAATATTTATTGGATAACGATCGCAAATAATACTTATTAGAAGTTAATTAACCAACTAATATCGAAAGTTCATTGGTAAACCAACGCCAGTTATCATGTTTGACTAGGTAGTTAATTTTAGGTTTTACCTGTTTCAAGGAACAAATATTTTTTCCGTAAAATACGATTTAATTGACGTGCTCAAAATAATGGTTCATATCTTAATTAAAAACTAAGGCGGATAGACACTGTAATCACCTAGTTATTCTCATAATCTAAAAATTAGGCTGTATTCTTCGTTGACTATACACGCTAAGGTATGCTGTAACATACTAGTTACTATAGACTGAATGCAGCTGTAAATAGTTTCAAACTTTTTAATATAATTGTACTTCGGACTCCTTATTTGCTTTAAATACAAAATCATCAGATACATATCTCTAACTAAAGAAATAAAGTAGATTTTTTGTTGTACGTAGAAAAATAAAAGAAAGTAAAGCCGCGTTACCTTTTTTTATGAAACATCGGAGGGTTGCTATATAGTCACGCGTTACGGTAAAAAGTCGAAGCATTCCATAATGTAGAGTACGAGTGATGTGCACTAGTGGAGTTTCTCACATTGCCACAAACGATTTGGCAGTATATTGAGGAAGTTGTGATTAGTTGTTCCGTACCTGTTCCCCACCAGTACCGCTTCCAGCCCTCAGACACTGCACGGAACATAGCGCTACAAGCCGTACGTCCAAAGCCGGCAGCGCGTGGCGGCAAACTGAGGACTGTCATAGCCACAACGTCCACGCTCGGTTACCAAAACATTACAATTTAAAATTCTAATGTTTTTCATAAATACTTTTTGTCATTGGCGTTATTGCCAACTACAAATTTTTTGGGGTCCCCTACTCACTCAGGGGCTCTTTTATGTAGTAACTGACAAAGGGCTTCCCGTCACACCCCTGATTCAATTAATCTCTAATTAGATATGAGAGTGCTCTTAATGTAGAGTAGAGGCAGATTTGACATCGTGGGTCGTCGCTAAAGTAAATGGAAATCTGACAGCGTGATAGGTGTTATTAGAACAAAACTGACATTGAAGATTCAGGTCAGTTGTGGCAAGCAAAGCCATACAGAATAAATTTTGTCATAAACAAGAGCTGAGATGCATCGTCAAGATGCAAGTAGACGTATTTGTTTTTTTTTTTTTACGTAAAAACTAGCATTAAATCTTTTCTAATATTAAATAGATTCAATCTTTCATTTGCATTTTGCGCTGAATATACGAAACTACCGGATTTCTTTCACTTACGGGAAGTTACACATATATCGTATGCGGGTAACATAGGCTATAAATTACATGAGCAAAGTCGCGGGAAAACAACTACTGTTATTAATAACACTCTAAATCATTATATTTGTGTAAGTTTTGTAGGGCCATAGTCCGTTTTAATTTGAGAAAATGAAACCAGTTTCTAATATTTACTAAATTAATAACCTACCTAAGGTTATACATATTTTAAATATGTTTTGTTAATTGCATTACACTCAACTAGTTAAACAGACAAATTATTCCAAAAAAGTGGCATATTCTGTGCGTTTTTTTACTGATTTGAAAAGATAAAAAACAAAGGAAACTTATTATCACTAAGTATTTATGTCAATTATATAAACTGAAGTAGTTAATTTGCTTTAAAATAACGTATACCTAAACTAGTATTAAAAATTGCTGTTTACCATTTAATAATAAAATAATAACATAGGTTTATAAACTAGTTTCCTATGACTAATATAAAATTGGTCTAGGAATTTGACAATTAGCACTAAGGATCTATTATAATATAAATAAATTGTATCTTAATGAGCATTATGTAGAAACTTAAAAAAAAATAAGGAGTTGAAAGTTTGTATCGAATGATGTCCTTTTTAAAAATATGATAGGTTTAAGAAAAACGACTTAAAAATTCATTAGTGCCGTATGCTTGATATGGGAAGCATTTTTAAGATAAATATCAATATGAATGCAAAATTCATTAAATCAAATTATGAGTTTTTTTTAATTTAATCTACAAGTTTCATATAATCTCATATACCTACTCGTGATAATCTACAGAACACCTCCGCCCAACTTTAATAGCGGTTTCTTGAATAATTAAGTCGCTTTTAAGATATGTCACATTTTTAAAGAATGAAGTCGGGTTTATTTAGAAAAAATAAAATATGTAAGTTAGAATTTTCAAAATGGACAATAACCTTATTTAATCAATTAACATTAAACTACAATATCTCCTCAGTAATTTTGCACCCACAAAAAAATTCAACGATTTGACTTGCTATTTTATACAACGTATATCTTTTTATGTTAATAATGTCAAATTCCCATGGGAACTTGAAGGGTTGGTCGCCTTTCATTTATCAGTTAGGGCTAATCACTAATAATTCTTTTAATAAATAAAAAAAATGGGTTAAGAACTCTATATATCAATGATAACTTTAACGACATAGCGCTACCTATCGGAAGAACTGATATTCGTTAGTTAACCGTTTAGTCACCGCTAGCGTTGCTTTTAAAGTAAGATATTGCGTCGCGATGTTAGAGTTATTTAGTAGATGGCGGTAGTTTCAAATTGAAAAATGCAGATTAAAATTACACTTCTAACTACGATCAACAAACAGTTGATCGTAAACTTTAAATTGTAAGAAGAGTGAACTCAATATGGATAACCCCTTGTTAAAAAATAATAAATAAATACAGCTTACAATGCCGAAATGTCACGTATTTGTCACGACACTATTATTAGTAATTGCGTAATAAATTTATTTGAATAAATATATTTTCATTTTGAACCTACATTTCATGAGTTAGTTAGCAGGAGCTAACAGAATGAGTAATTAATATACAAAATTATTGTTATTTAACGTTTTTTTTTATATTAATAAGGAGAACTTCTATTTTTGCATGTTCACATAAATTAAGTTTTTTCAAGGACGCCTTTTTAGTATCAACTTCAATTACATTTACAACAGATTATTTGTTAGGGTATTATTGTCATTAATAAAATATATTAATAACTAAAAATATGTATAGTAATAATTAAAGTAATCAAATATGGAATATTATCTTTAATATGGAATATTGAAAGACAAGAAAATTTGTAAATTGTCAATAAGTCTAGGAAATTCGAGATCGGTTTATGGATTCATTTGGCTTATTTTAAAGTGTATCTATTAAAATTTCTATATAAAATAAATAAGAAAGTAATTTTAGTATATTTTCGGGATATTGTTAAATGTTTGTTTAATTGCTATTATTATATATTTTTAGTTTTGCTCTATAATAGTAACGTCACCCTAGAATAACCAGTATTTAGTCTGAAATTATTGGTGCTGGGTTCGGAATGAAGTCGCCAATCGGTTTTTCAACGATAACGATGAACGGATGATATAGAATGATGAATGATGATTATGAATTGTACAAAAGTATTAGTAATATAACTGACATAAATTACCTTTAAAGAATAAATTCAAAGAAAGACTATATAATTATTTTAATAATTAGGAATAACTATAATGTAGTTGATATACTTTTGCTGTTACTTTATAGATAGATTAACCTGTTGGATTGCATGCAGTGTTTACCTTTAATTGTCTTTGCATTTAGGTACCAACTTATTTTATAAGATTCACTTTTTCTTTATACTGTATAAATGTGTAAGATGTTGGTAAATAAACAAAGAATGAATGGGTTTGAGAGCAGTATTTTCAACTTAGTAATTTATCTCTATATATCCACTGCAAGAAATGTCAAAGTACGAAGTAAAATTAAGATATCGTATCCTATAGCTAGAGAGATAGACGCTCGCACCCCTCTTCTTTTGTTACCCACGCCTGATGGGATGGCATGGGAGAGTATGTGGGATCTTCCCTCTCGAGTGAAGGAGCCACTAAAAAGCTTAGGCATGTCCTCCGACGAGAGTGATTCCCGGGAACCCGAAAAACGCGGAAAACGAAAGTACATATGTTGCCAGGCTAAAACCGTAAAGATGTTCGGTACGGTTCGCGATCGGCGAATATTTTTGAATATGTATCTGATTAATAGCATATCAATTAAAACATGAATTATCTGTTGATAGGTAAAAATTCGTCACGTTTCTGAGATAAAAGCCATCAAAGGCAGTGCAATATTCATAATTATCATATAATATCTTTAAAACGTGTTTCTATAGATAATTTTATGATATAATTACTATCGTTTCTATGAATCTGATAAGTTTTTGCCGGACCTTATTTTGTAACAAAAATGATAATGCTTTCATATTAGACCCCTTTCTTTTTCGACAGGAAATGCATTATAGCATATCTCGCTGCCCAAGCGCGTATCTAAGAGGTTATGTGGGGCTCTCGTCCGTCTGAACCACCCTTGGATGAAGTGGCTAGTCAAAGAGTGGAAACGTACCCATTAAAGCCTATCTCTTCCATCATCGATGTTCTGCTCCTCCACCATTTATTTATATAGTATATGCTGACGTTCTCTATATGTCTATATTCTAATTGACTGGTTTCATAAGAAATGTAAAACCAACCATAAAGTCTACTTAGGCCAATTAAATCATGCTCATTATATAGACTAGTATCTAATAATGTTTTCATTGGAGGGACTCGGGCCTTCCCTATAGAAGAAATCGAATCAAACCGAATAGGCCCAAGAGCCACCGCGCGAGCCCATCGCGTATTGGTGGGTCTTAATGACTGCAGAAGGAGTCGAGACCAAAGACTTAATATGCCTCCCGAAGTTCGAGATATTACATTTTTGGTAACCTATTCTATGACCGGCCACTTTGAAAGATGCTTAACAGCCTTATCGCAAACCGAGTGAGCTAACCAGCTTTGATACATACCTATACATATTGCTTCAAGACACTACATGAAAGATATTATGAATGAATGAACACTTTTTTGTAATTGAAAAGAAAAATCAACATAACAGTTAATAACAATAAACAGTACAATCAACAGCCTTATCGCTAAAAAGCAACATCTTCCAGGCAAAAAAGTTAAACTGGACAGTTACATAAAAAAAGATGGGTAGTAAATGGTGTCCTACACAGTTGAAATAAAAATTTTCCATGCTAATATATTCACACATACATATATAAGTATATACATATATAAATACATAACATACAATAGCCTAGTTTAATGTTCAAAAAGTGACAGATAGTAATGCTCTTTTACCTTATTTTTAAAGACATTCAATGATGGTGCATACTTTATATCATCTGGTAATTTAATCCAAAGGCGGACAGCCTGAACTGCAATAGACTTGTCGAGAAACTTTGTTGAATGGCGTCTGCAGTTTTAGGTTCTCTGATGATCGCAAGATACGGGAGTGTGATTATCTGTACTCTCATGTAGTTTTTCTCAACGCTTACGAAGTAAAAGCCTAATTATGTAAATTTTTTGTCTAAAATACGAAAACATTAGCGGCAAAAGCTTTAGAAAAACTATACGCCTCTAAAGTATTCAAGTTGCCTTTGTGTTGAAACAGGAACTCTTCTCAAAAGAAAGTTACACAGAAAAGTTTCATGGAAGTCTTTATAAGCCAACACACAATGAAAAGTACTGTTGTTGTCTGTGGCTTCGTTTGCGTGTTTTCAGTTAAATAATATCTTGGCAAAATTGTTGATTTTATTTATGAAGTGGCTCGTGCGCCGAATTTAAGGTTGCGTGCAAACTTTTTGTGTTTGATATTCAAAATTTTTTCTTTTTATTATTCACCTTTCGTAATTTGAAATTTTGACTAATCCAATATGCTCTTTATGAATGTCAGGTTGTAACAATTCATCTGGTGTGAACATGATAATGTAATCATATAAATTTAAAAATAAAAATTCATAATAATTAAGTTATTGTAATTTAAATAAGAAAATTGTTAATCTAAAAGTATATCTTCGTGAAATATCTTTATATATTACAGAAAACCCAGAAACGGGGTATGTATTTGTTCTATTTACTAACTGTAATTATATATTTAGGTAATCATATAAACAGCTTTTTATATTAATTTTTTGTTAATTACAGTTTTCCTTTACCCTTTTCTTTATTACCGTATAATAAAATCAAGTTCTCAGGCTTAGGTAAGCGGTCTTCAAGGGTAGCTAGTCAAATCCGTCCCACAAGAAGTTAGTTTATTTGCAGTTTTATTATATATGTTTTAAACTCAGCTGCCGCAATGCCAGTTTGCAAAATGGCGCTTGCCTTAGGTTGTTGCCGCTGTGGGATGTTGCCAGCCTGTGCTTTATCTGCTATTCTCAATTACGTCATAGTCAACTTTTTTAACAAGTATGTTTTAATAATTTGACAGATTATATTGTTTAAATGCGTTGTTGACTTTACCAGTGTTTCTGGGATAACCCAATCGTGAGGTCACTTGTTTATTCACTCGTATGTTCTATCTGAAGAGCTTTGTATCAGTTCCTAAAAGACAAGTCAGAAATGAAGAATCAATATTGAACATCCGTTGACCATGAAGATGGACTCAAACAATACCTTTAAATATAGGTAACAACTGTTTACTTGCTAAATGTTATTTATATTTAGTTGTAGTTTTCCTTTTATAGTAAGCCTATGATTTAATGTGGCATACATTTTTATCTCGTGCAAGTTAAAGATGTCAAAGTTTAAATGTTCTCTATCTAAATCGGTAACAATAATTAAATTATTTAAATAATTCTATATTTAGTGGACTAAAAGCGGTCATCTTAGCCAGTTCATTTGGTCCCGACATTTATTCAGATCTCCACATGGATTTACTCTTTCGTTCCCTTATACTAAATCTAGAAAATCACTTATCTTGGCAACAAGATTGGTTGACTGAATATTATTTGAAACGTAATTCGAGTTACTCTAATTCTGATGCGGATCAAGAGAAATCTCGGGCCTAACTAATATATAATCAACTACTCCAGAGGCTAAACAAGTACACAGATACATACCGGCCCCTGATACTGGCATTATCGCGCTATTTTACATTGAACCACAAAGCCATGATTCTACCACACAGATTATCGGTATCGCTCCCCTTCCGTTTTGACTCAGTCACGCATATGTATGACAGCCAACATTCAACTATCAGTTAATTTATCTTATCTTTTAACCCACGTCTCACATTTCACCTTCTTGTGCCACCTTTTTTTATGAGTCGGGAAAATGATTTAATTAGTACCCGCCGTCGTTCTTATGCCACCTGGGTTGAATAATTAGGTAAAATCGCCGATCTGGCATGAATGGCAGTAGTACCCATCATCGCATGGACTTATTTTCACACCTAATTTTGTAACAGTTCGTCGTACCACCGTTTATTTCGTCCTAGGTATGCGCATGCAACATTTTTGTCTTTGATCTTCAACATCATTTTTTTTTTTTGTTTACTTTTCGTAACTTGAAATTGTGAGTAATCCATTATGCTGTTTATGAATGTCAGTTGATGAAAATTTGTCGAGCTAGGAACATTATACATACTTAATTTTAATAAATTGTAATTTGACGTAAAAATACATTAAAATCAGTTTATTATTACCTGTTGTAAATGTATACTATATCAAATAACATATATAATAAAGTTAAATTACTCACCAAACCCGAAGAAAAGGGATTTTTGTTTACCCTTAATTCCCCAAAGCATCGAACCCGTCACAGGGTTATGCCCTGACCGGCTTCACGGCGCTATTCCGGTCCAGAATTGCAAATTATCACCATCACACATCTTTTCGATAACGGTTCTGGAGCATGATCTTCCAATAACGTTTTACCCATCTTATAATATTTCTGAGTGTCGAATCTACTGCAAAAAATATATAATTGTGTTCCAAAATTAAATATGCATAACTATTATTTATATCAACATCTATATCATACAATATAATGAAGAAAGGCGTGTGCGCTTGACCAAATCACGTGTGATAAATAAAACGTATGGTCGTCCGGCGACTGCTTTATTTTATGTCAATCAGCCGGTTGGTGCTATCGTGCCAAAATGTTGAAGATATCAAAATTTTTGCACAAAGATAAATTAAAATTTGTTAAAAATTCTATTTCGAATTTCAACTGCAATGTGATGAAAAATAGTGAAAATGTATTATTGAAAGTGAGGATTTTATTCTACGTTATGGCTTTTATACATCTGGTTGTGGTATCGATTATATTGTTGACTATCGATTTCACGGAAGCTGAAGATCCTAGTTTATGGATGTATGCAAATGTGAGATGGAAACTTATAACATGTTGGTTTAATGTAAGTTTTATTTATTTATTTAAGATAATATATTATATTACAAAATATTATTAGCATCTATGCATCAGACTGTTTGAGACTTGGTTGGCGTACTCATTTTCTTTAGTATAGTACATTTAACAGAATTTAATGAGATTAAAATGTTAAACGTGAAAGATATTATAAGTAAAAAAAGAAATCTTATTTTTATCTTTTAGTTTATCTTTTCTTATAACTGTACTCTTTTAAATATAAGAAAGGTTGATGAATGGCTGAAATACTGTAGTTAAGCGCTGGGATAGAAAATGATACAATAATGTAATTATTTGCGAGTAGTTAATTAATTTTAAATATTTCTTTCGCGTAATACGCAAAGTCAAAGTCAAAATAATCTATATTCAAATAGACTTCTTAAAAGTACTTTTGAAATGTTCAACATTCTTTTTCCCTATCAATCGTTCAGGACGTCTTTTGGCTGATAAGAAGAACGAGCAAGAAACTCACCAGCTCTAATAAGAGTAATGACTTTTACAAAACCATGTCATTACCAGATCAATACATTATAAACAGAGAAAGAGAAAAAAAACTATGGTCTTATAATGATAACATAATCATTTAATAAGAATGGAAACAAGATAATGAGCTTAGAAATCAAGCCATCATCTATCTCAGCGAATGGCTGCTTTTAATTGATTGACTGATTTGAAAACTGTGTACACTGTTTGACTGGGATTTAGTTACTCTAAGAGTAGACTTGTATTATCTTTCTTTATAATATATTCACCTTCAAAAGAAAAAAAATATATGATCGTATTTGCCCTATTTTTTTTATTATCAGCTCATTATGATTTCCTATCAGTTGCATTTGCACAAAATTTTTACAATCATACGCGATTCTTAAACACTTATCAGTATCGTTCCATGAATTTATTTTAATTTAGAAATTAAATACAAATTTTAACTTAGAAATTAAAAACAAATCAAATTTAACTCAAACATATATTAATAATGATATATTTTTGAGCACGAGCTTTTTACCTATAAAATTACAATGAATTTCGCCTGTGAATTGCTTATATTTGTATTGAATAATAACAAATCATTGGACTGGCAAGCCATGACTCCTAGCCACAGGATACGACATCTCAGCAATATTATTATAACCTTTTCATTTTACTACTCTGACTAGTAATATCAATAAATGACAGTAAATTCACTGATAAATCGTTTATAGACCAAGCTGCACTTTACTGCGTTGGAATGCATTGCTAGAAAATATAAGGCGTGCTAAAAGCATACACATTTCAAAGGGCACTATCTGTCACTCACTCTTGATCTAGTCTAATCCTTATTTATCATTTAAAACATATGTTATATATTAAATATTTGTATTATAGTATTTGTAAACTTATTATTTTGTGGATGTATTAATTATATTTAAATCATTCATCAAATATATGTAAAGATATGATGATATTGTAAAAAAGTTTTCAGACACCTTAAGCTACCCTAGATATAATTTTGTGCAGTTGATTGGAAGAAATTACTTTTTAGTAATAAGCCTACCAATTGTCCATTTGAATTTATTCTATCCATATGTTTGTTTTTGTCCATTGGTGTACAATAAAGAATTTTTCATTTACTTTAATAACAACGAATGAATTTGAATTTGACTACAATGTGTATATATGCATATAAACACAAGTCAAAATAGTAAAATGAAACGAAATATTGTCAAAATATCGCTTAGGTATGTGAAGATGAAGCTTGAAAATAGAGCAGTGGCATCCAGGGCCTCAATTTGCAAATTTTTACGTCGAAGTGATTATTTCAATTCAAATCTCAATTACTTGCATTTTGCTTTGTAATATATACTTGAAGTCTAATATTATTATGTAAACAATGTTCACAGATATTTTTATTACATTGTGATATAGTACAAGAATTGTGTCATAATGGGTTGTAGTTGAAGGGCTACTGACTCTTCATAATTACGCTAACTCCTCGTCACTCGCGTAAATCCAAATCTCTCAGCCTTGTCAAGGAAGGAGTTTACAAATCATTATAAGTTACGAACGAAACAGACTCAACATTACAAAACACAAATGCATAAAATTACAAATCAGATTTAGTTGATTTGATTTGAATAAAATATCGAAACAAATTGCAACCAGAAATGAGAAAACTACCATTATATTACATATAAATTATCTTGACAGTAGCAGAAACACTTGATGACGGCTTGGCAGCAATCAAAAGCAGTTTAGTGAATAAAATATAATGTCAAAATCAAAGTTTAACACTAGTATCAGAAGATTACTTTTATGTGTATCTGTGCGTGCTTAAACAACTATTTTAATTCAATATTCAAGAATATGATTAAAGTAAGAACTGTAACAATAGCTAACAATAATACTTTGCAGAGTTTTTACTTCATTCAAATTCTTGTTTATTTCTTAAAAATATTAGATTCCTTTTACTCAAGTAATTATTTTTATTCGACTACTATACGAATGTAAATGTTATTTATTGAAATTATCTCATTTAAAAAAAAGTATTTTGAACACATTTATTTACATTACTACTTATGTTTAGTACATTAATATTTTGGTATTTATACGAAGCTCTTAGAGCTTGATCTCCTATCGTTGATTATTGCCGGAACAAAAAACTGTTAGAACTAGTAGGAACTACTAGTAAGAAACTAGCAACATTATTTTGTCATGTTTATCGGTCAGTTGCATCAACGTCCATTAAGGTTTAATGACGCTTTTAAGCTCTAATGTATGACAAAAAGTATCGGTAAACTCGCTTTAACCTAATGATAATTTTAATGGACGTTTGTGCAACAGGCTGTTAATCTATCAGCTTTGAAAATATAACATCATTTATTTAGATTTGGCTGTTACAATCAAAACCATCTCAATAGAAGATCAACATCATGAATTTTGCCATTATTTTTATGGTCCAGTGTCTAGAACTGCGTCATAAAAGGTTGTAGTTAAAGAGCTATGGACTTACCATAATTACGTTAACATTATCAGAATTACCTGCTTGTAAGAAGAACCGGGAAGACTCAGCAAGGACTTACTTTTTTCTCTCAGTTTTATATAGAAATTCAATTGAAAAGTGACTATAAAAGTATGAAGTCACTCTTCAATACAGTATTAAACCAAGCCTTAATCGAGATAAAAATGTTCTATACATTTTAATCTATGATTATGGCTTGATAGATTTAATTTGTCAGATAAAAGCTCTGTTAGCTATTTAGAAGTGTTACTAACTAACAAAGTTTAATATCAGAGGGTTATGCTAAGAGTATAGGTACTTATATTAGGTAAATTCACTGTTTAGGTAGCACAATAACAAAACTTGACGCACTCCAGTCTCCGTATAGATTTATGTTAGCTCAGGTGGAAGATAATAATAATAATACTGCGGATGGGAGGGTATTAACGACTGCAAATGCAGCCGGAACCGCTGGCTTATTTACTACACTACTAAGCTGTTCTATTATAAAGATATAGTTTAATATTCGCATTGCTTTTTTTATATTTTCAGTTATTGTCTTTGGTATATTTACCAATCTGCATCTATTGCGATCTGAAAGAGTTACGCGATGAGGATAAAGAGCTGCACGTTAAAAGGTTGAATAACATTAGATTTTTAATATTTACAAGCATCCTGTTACCCACGAGCATTGTAAGTAATACCACTACGTTATCACAAGGAATTTATTTATAAAAAAAACACATCCCTGACTTTGAAGATCTCAATCTATCCATTCCTTCCTAGGCTGATCAAGTAATAGTGTCGCAAAACATAGACCAATTTATTAATGACTAGTTCTTTTTTATGCTTCTCCACCCGCGTAAATTATAGCTTCCCTAACTTCATGTAAATATGTTCGAACATATTAATAATACTTAAGATATTAGCTGTAGTAATAACCATTTATATCCCGACATTATTTTCGAACTTATTTTTTTCCGAACCTTTATAATGCTTCTGTTACGTAGAATTTATGAAGTAACATGAAAGTGATGATTCAGAAGCTTTGAGGGTTGTTATAATTTCCACTGGAAGATTGGGCGACTTGATCATTTTAGGCGCACGCCTAGCATTATTTTGTTGTTCGAATTACGAATACTACCCACAAGTTTTAACTCTTTACAGTTTGCAGATATACTTTTTTGGCGGTTATGGATGAAGGATAGAGAGTTGCTGGCCCCTGTAACTGTTGACGCCATAGTACCATTCTGGACCCAACATTGTATGCATACAGTATCGTTGGTTGTCACCATATTGGATGTAGTACTGGTGCCGAGGACAAGGCCGAAGAGTGTCGTACCAGGCTTAAGCATAATGTCAATTTTCCTGTTTTCATATGTAACAGTGTAAGTAGAAAGAACAATTACCTAATCCCCTTGTCATTGCATATTATCAAATACTAGCTGTTTTATCTCGACGTTACCAGACGATACTCGTATCAATTGTAGCCTACGTCAACCGCGTATAAGTAGCTTCCAAGTATAAGTAGCTTCCAATAGGCATGGACCAATATATACCATAGGTGAAATGACCGGAAAAGTTTTTCGGAAGATTTTTTCCGACAAACAAATAAAGTTAGAAACTTAATCTCTTTATAATGTTACTATGCCTTCATGTTTAGATCGCTTTCAGATTTATAACCATTTTGTAATTTGTAACAATCTTAAGTTTTAAGGAGCTAAATAAAAATAAATACATAATACAGAAAGGTATAATGTTATACATTTTTCAATCTAGTTTTATCGCTTAATTGGTTTTATTATAACCAATGAAAGTGAAACGTCATATTTTTTAATATTCCAACTAAATAGGTAATAAATTTATTGTTAGTCCACAAAATTCTAATAGATTAACAATAATACATATTGTTAAGATATTATATTACTAAAATAAAATTAATTTTCTTAATTTAGATCAAAATAAATAATTAAAATACGAGTCGAATTTATTGATAAAATAATTGTTAAAACAAAATTGAACAAATAATTTTTAAATATTCCTTTCAGCTGTTTTCATTGTTTGAGCATTGATGAAAATACTTTTACTAGTGGCGAAAAGTAGTGCTTGTATATTCGTCAGCCCTGTTGGTTCTCGGGTAGTTTAATGGTTAGAGCAGTCACCAGGACTGCGAAAGGTTATAGGTTCGAGTCTCATCTCGGGCTACCTCGTGCTGATGAATTTTTTAAGCATTTTTTATTATATATATTTTTCAGTATAGCATTGTGAATGCAAAATTTAATCAAATATAATAATTATATAGTGTATATATAATGAATATATACAAATTATCGTTTTCCATTCGATCTGTTACGTGCGTAATAGAACCATCGGCATGCAGTACGCACGCATTGTCACAGCACGTCGGGGGCCGTTACAATAATTATCCTTGCTAAGTCCTTATATATAACACAATCTATTTAATTTGCTAAATGGATAATGTTTTTGGCATATTTGTCAAAGAGAAATAATTTTGGATTTAGAATTTTATTAGATTTTTTTTTTATATATTGATACTTTATGCCTGCGGCTGAGAATTTTCAGGAGAGCCAAAAAATTAAAATTAAAATTTTGTATTTGTCTACCAAAATTTTTATGGTGCGTAATATTATAATGTTCAGGTTTTTTATTTTAAGTTTCATGGTAAATACGTCTCACAAACCCAAACATGTATGTCTTATACGCATAAAATGTCTATTGTGTCCTGACTGGTTCTAGAGAGGTATACCTAAGGGGCCGTCCATTAAGCACGTGAGGCTCGAAAGGGGGGGAGGGATTCGTCAAAAATCTCTGATTTATAATTGATTTTACGTCAAAATCACGAAAAAAATGTATTACGAACTTTAAAATTTGGTGTCAAAATTTAAAACTTTAAAAATACCGTTCGAGGGCGCAGAAAAAAATAATAATATGGTATTTAAATTTCGTTTTGGAGAAAACGCCTTTTCCATTTGATTACCCGTAAATTAACGATATGATTTTAACACTCATTTATTTATTATTTTACTTTATGGCCTTGTTCCGTTATACACAGAAATTCTGCCAACATCCCGTAGTGAGAGAAACACTAGACTCGAGAGACTGAACGGCAGTTAGAATTAACCAGTTCTTCCTAGAGATTGTACTTTCTCTACTAACTCATTTATTTAGTCCCGGAAGCACCATAATGAAGAAGTATTTAAAAAGAACGAAAGCACTAAAAAGCACCTCCACTAGATGGCGACTCTAGCAAAAGTTGATTATTGCAGGAAACGAATGGACCAAAGACAGTAATTTCCGTCCCTTTTAACTAATATATTAAAAAACTGAAATTTGAAAAGTTCAAAACTTAAATATCAATAGAAATAGAATATGAGGTGTTTATTGAGTTTTAGCTATATGAGTAGCTCGGTGGCGTAGTGGATAAGCGCCGCGGCCCGCGATCGTAGTCGTTAAGCAACTTTCGCAAGGGTCGGTCACAGGATGGGTGACCAAAAAATTATTATCTCGAGCTACTCCGTGCTTCGGAAGGCACGTTAAGCCGTTGGTTCCGGCTGCAATCCGCATTGGGCCAGCGTGGAGGGTCATGGCCCATCCTCCTTAACCATCCATAAGGAAGGCCTGAGCCCCTGCAGTGGGGACGTAAAAGGGCTGGTGATGGTGATAATTGAGTTTTAAAAAACTAATTTACTTTTAAACATGAAAGAAAACCGGAGGGGTTGACCACTGGGCGACCACTAGTATTCATTATTATTTTCTTAACCTTTATTTTAACATGTTTGTTATTATCAAACTTAGTTGGTATACTCTTATTAATTGAATCATGTTTCTTGTCAACAGATGCATCAACAGCTACATGAAAGGAGAATATTTATATCCAGTATTTAAAATGTTTGATGGATTTAAAATGTTAATTTTGTTCTTTTACTGTATATTTGAACACTTATTTTATTATTACGCTCAGTTTATATTATATGATTTACTTTGGAATAAAGTAAAGAAGCAAGAAAGTCATAAGTTATGAAAGAGAAGAAAATGAGTTAAGTTTATTTCGCATGATGAAGTGATGCTAATGAGTGATGGACTTATTTTCAATTTTTTTCAATTGATTGTAATCCTTAATAAGTTGATATGAAGTTCATTAAAAGTTAAATCTTAATGGTCCGCTTCATGTACCTTCCTTTAATGGATGGGACCAACATAACCTATTAATTTAGTGAATAAATGTCAAAAACACGCATGACCATCTTAATTTTCAAAATGTAAATGGTCATGCGTGCTCGCATCTAGATAGCGTAGTGGTTACTGTTGGCGAGATCTTAGTGAGTTATTAAAATTTAAAGGTCAGTGCGAATCTGGCGGAAGATCCGTCAACTGTATCAAATTTAATACTTAGCTGTCATTTGTTGTACTGGCAGCAAAGAAAATAAAGATCAAAAGTATTTTTTTGGGTTATTTAATCATTTTATATATTATTTTATTGAATTTATTATCCGTATTAGACGACTTTATTAAGAGTTTATAAAATATATTTTCTAAATTAATCTTTTTATCACTAAATATCAAGTTTGCCATTTTTGCCGCAAAAGCATCGCCATTTTACAACTTCGGGTTCAATAAAAAATGGCAGTATGCTACAATCTGTACTTACTACGATAATACGTTGATTAATAAAGAATAAATATTTTCGTTCCATTATTTGCTCACCTTACACTCTGAAGTTGAAGCGCAATGCAAACAAAGATGGCTGTTTGACAGTCGCTCTCATATCAATTTGTCAAGTTCATGGACAAATGAGATGCAACGAATCTTCCATCAGATATGCACCGACCTTAAAATGTTTTGCTAGAATGGTGCTTATTGTAATGCACGTAGTAATTTTAGGTTAGCGTTTAGTATGATTTGCCATTTATAAACTTAAAACTATGTCAATTCATTATTTAGCTTTTTGATGTTATAAAAAATACACATTATTACAAAGCCCTCCGATTCATATGGTAGATGTTAATTGTTTATTAGCATTATTAACAATTGTAATATAATGATAGAATGTATGACCTCTTTCATGTAATTCAACTTAGATATGTACTTAGATATAAATACATAGGTTATCTGTTTATTTCGTGACTTTGCCAGAGTAGAATATAATTTATATCAAAGCCTGACGTTGGCTAGTCCGGTGTGGTTGTTTGCAAAGTCAAAATAATCTTTATTCAAATAGACTTCTTAAAAGTACTTTTGAATCGTCCAACATTTTCTTTCCCTACCACTCGTTCAGGACGTCTTTTGGCTGATAAGAAGAACGAGCAAGAAACTCACCAGCTCTAATAAGAGTAATGACATTTACAAAAACCATGTCATTACCAGATCAATACATTATAAACAGAGATAGAAAAAAAACTATGGTCTAATAATGATAACACAATCATTTAATAATAATGGAAACAAGATAATGAGTTTAGAAGTAATCACCTATCCAGTTGCTGGATCATCTCAAGTCCAAGCGTTCTTATCTGTTATATAATCGGATACCTTATAATAAGCTTTTTTAATAAGTAATTGATTTAAACTGCATGATATCTAATTGGACCTTATTGTAGAAGCGCACACAAAGACCCCTTGAATGAGTTATTAACTTTTTGCAGTCTAGTGACAGGCACCGTTAATTTATTTTTATTTCTTGTATTAAAATTGTGTACATCACTTTTTATAGAAAACAAACTAATATTTTTACGAACGTACATTAAGTTCTCGTATATGTATTGAGAAGCAACAGTCATATATGTCTATTTCCTTAAATTTCTCCCTTAAAGAGTCCCTAATCCTAAGATTATAAATTGATCGAATTGCTCTTTTCTGAAGCACAAAAATTGTTTGTATGTCGGCAGCATTTCCCCACAATAGGATTCCGTACGACATTACACTATGAAAGTAACTGAAGTATACTAATCTGGCAGTATCTATGTCAGTTAACCTACGTATTTTCATTACGGCATATGCTGCAGAGCTAAGTCTACTCGATAATTTATTAACATGTGGACCTCACTGTAGTTTAGAATCGAATGTTATTCCTAAAAATACTGTGGTATCAACAAGGCCCATGTTCTTATCTTTTATATTAACATTTATATCTACTTTTTTAACATTAGGTAGTACAAATTTTAAGCATTTTGTTTTTCCTTCATTAAGGAGAAGATTATTTTCATTAAACCAATGTACTACTTTAGCGATAGAATTGTTCACATCGTCATTTAGAGGTAACCCTCTTTTAATTTTAAACAAAAGTGAAGTGTCATCCGCAAACAAATTTATTTCTATTTCGTATTTCTGTACTCTGTCAGTCAAGTATGAGACAATAAAATCCAATGAGTTATCTCTAAATCCATAAAAATGCAGTTTCCTAATCAATGTTTCATGAAAAACACAATCAAATGGGTTTTTAGATAGGTCACAGAAAACACCTAACGCATCATGTGAATCTAGGAATCAAGGCATATAATGAAGGCATTAAAAATTTCTTGTATTAACTCGACACCGGCTTCGGTTGTTGAGCGACCCCTTGTAAAACCAAATTGTTGTCGGTTTATAAGCTTATTCTTGTTAAAAATACGTTTGTATTTGATCCAGCATGATTTTTTCAAAAATCTTACTAAACGTAGGTAGCACGGATATAGGTCTAAAGTTAGAAGGGTCAGATG